TCCCCCCCCCGGCTGCAAAACTGCCACTGAGGATGTTGGACATACCTCTGATTGAATGTGTGCAAGACCAGATTACACGTGTAAAATCCACCTCCCTTTAATGAAGAGCTCCTGAAATCACTGATCATATTGATACAGGGTAAACATTCGACTCCGTTGGTGCTTAATTTTAATGATTTATATTTATTTTATTTTATTTTACTTTATGTATTTATCTGAGTATTTATAAACTATTTAGACAGGAAGATTTCAAAGCAGTTTGTAATAATAACAAAATCTACACTATAACCACACAGAAAATTATAATACAGTATTTATGTTGTCCAGCAAACAGATGGTAGGTTTGACAACAGCAAAAGACCTGCAAAAATAAGGGCACTTTCTACATAGATCTGAAAATAAAAATTGTTGGGACTTGCTAAATATTAGCATGCATCATTGTTTTTAGTTTGTAGTTGATTTGAGCTTGTTGTACAGGTGCCTTATTGATGACTGTCACTATACTTTTACAATGCTATTCTGCTTTTCATTTTCTGACAATCAGTCATCTCCTTGTTTGTAAGGGAATAGCAGGGCATAATTTCTCTACCTAAATAATAAGTTCCCGGTGTGGTGTAGTCAGTGTATAGAATGATGGACTAGGACTCAGGAGAACAGGGTTCAAATCCTCAGTTGGCCATGGAAACTCACTGGCAAGTGGAACTGGTAAAACCACTCCTAAAGTATCTCACTTACCTTGAAAGCCCTCTTAGGGTTGCTATGAGTTGATTCCAACTTGACCATACAGAACATATATGCAAACAATAGAAGATGCTTGATTCGTGTTCCTTGTTTGGAAGGAAACGAAGAGGAAGGACAATTGAAATGAATGGCTTCATTTAAAACTCTTGGTAGCTTTTTTAGATTTCCCATTTTGTTGGATATTGACCGTGTGCTAAAAAATATATTGATTGGTCAAAATATTCCTCGTGGTAACAAAATCCTTTTTCAACACTACACAAAGCTAGTAAATGAATCATCAGTCGTTAGCCCCATCATCTGAGCAAGGAGGGGATCCTGAAACTGTGTTACTACATCTGCTGTCCTGCTCTACTTCACAGTGAACAAAAGGAAAAGCCATTCTTCAGGGTAATGTTTTCTTTAGTTCTACATCTCTTTTAATTGTGCAAAAAACTTTACAGCCCATGTAATCATCCTCACAACCCAGCCATGAAGCTGAGTGTTAATTCTTCTCAATTCAGAGAGGAGGCATTACTGCCACAACTCCTTTTTTTAAACACATATAGAATCAAACAACATACCAGGAAAATTCATAGAACAGGAGTGATCCTCAAAGCATTATACATAAAACAGAGATAGCATGAAGCAAAGGGAAAGAGGGAGAAATTGAGAGAAGAAAAAAATGTGATAATTGTGAATACATAAGTAACTCTAGTGGGGCTGCCTTTGAGGCTGATGCGGAAACTTCAGGTGGTGCAGAATGCAGCGGCCAGACTCCTTACTGGAGTGAGAAAACACCAGCATATCTCTCCTATTCTGGCCATGCTGCACTGGCTGCCCATCCATTTCCGCATTTACTTCAAAGTTTTAATGCTTACTTATAAGGCCCTAAACAGTTTAGGACCTCGATACCTGGCGGAACGCCTGCTCCCACCAAGATCTACCCAGATCACCCACGCGAGCCAGGAGGTGAGGTTGAGGAGCCTCACGCGGAGGGAGGCCCGAAGAGAAAAGACATGAAACAAGGCCTTCTCGGCGGTGGCTCCTCGCCTCTGGAATAACCTCCCACCAGAGATTCGCGGAGCCCCTACGCTGGGCACAGTTAAAAGCCAATTAAAAACATGGATGTACATCCAGGCCTTCGCTCCTGTCAACACTTGATTCTTTCTTTTCTTGCTGTTTATTATTTACCATATTCTATCATGTATCTTATTGTCTCTATTGTAATGCTCCTGTGCTATTTTAATTTATTTATGTTATGTTGTAAGCCGCCCAGAGTGGTAGAATATACCAGATGGGCAGGATATAAATCAAATCAAATCAAATCAATCGATCAATCAATCAATCAATCAATCAATAAAACTGCTATTTATGTTGTAAGCTGCCCAGAGTGGTAGAATAATGACAAGAGTCATGCTACTGGCCTCTCCAGAGGGCAAGGCATAGGTGAGAAGCACATTAGAGATAGCACATCATTAGGAGAATAAAATTCTTAACTAAATGTAAGCCTTGAGTCACAGCAGTAGCTCTGGGATTATGCAAATTCATCTGCTTTGTTTGATGATTGGCCTTCAGGATATAAGGATTCCTTTGAAGTCTGATATCACTAACATGGACAGATTGCCTAAGGGTGTTATCAGATGATGAGAAGAGATCCTGTCTGATTACACTGGAAAGGATTGCTTTGCAGAGAGTGATCTCCCTTCAAGTAACCCTTCTGTCTGTGGAGGAATCCCTCCAGCCTGGCACCAAGAAAGAACAGCCTTTCTGCATGGCTCACAGTCAGGCTGATTCAGGATTTCATGTACACCATGTGATTGCTGAGAAATACCTCACACCTGACTGTGCCACAAGATGTCGAAAATATGGATAATTTCCTCAGACCCCTTTCTGCTTAGTGCTGTCAGCTCTCATTTCTGGTTACCTGTAATGTCTGTTTCTGGCCTTAAAGATAGCAGAATACCTATCTTTCAAGGTAAAGTGATGGCAGGGTGATTTAAGAAAGTCTTTCTTTGACCAGAGACAGAGAGAAGTATCTTTACACTCATTGTAAGGAGTCACCCCATTACTGCACCCACTAACAGATTTTCATAGCAATTCAGAGATAACAGAGGGAAGCAAGAGTTCCATAGCTGAATCAAAAGCCATAAAGCCCCTCATTCTCTGACTTTCAGCTCTTAAAAAACAAACCTAATTGTCATTCTTCAGAATTAAAAACATCTGAAGAGGCATTTGAAAATGAAGAGGCTCCCAGTTCAATTGCCCAGAAAGAGAGAGAGACATAGAGCAACATGACTTGATAC